ACTTTTTCGCGATGCATGTGTGAGTTGCTCCCTTGGTTTATTTGCATTTTAATATGCCTCGTATTTTATGGGGCTTTTATATTGTTGAAGGTATTTATAATATATATTTTACCCCTTAAGCCGCATTTGTGTAATGAAACGGAATGGATTACCGCTGGCCGCCGACTGCCGGTTGCCCCTGCAACCCACGAACCCTCAATCCGCAATCCTTGGGCCTTTTGACCCATGAAGCACCCACATATCGCCAAAAAACCCACATGTAACCCTTAACTCTGTGCCATCCTTACGCCCATCCGAAGTTTAACGAAATTGAAACACATTTGCCTGACAGTTGCCATCAGCTTGGCTTCAATTTGATGTCAGCATTATTGACTGATTCTGGGGGCCCAATGGCAGAGGCAGGGCTTCTGTTCCGTCTGGATCTCGCACATACATATGTTTACCCAAGGCTGAAACACTTCAAGTTGCCTAGTTAAAGTTAAGTGTTCGTAGGAACAGGCTGAAACGGGGCGTGGCCCTGCTCAATCATATTTCACATTCGCCAGTTGTCAGCTTTTATCTCGTTTTCGTCATCCCAAGAAGTGCCCATCTTATTTCAGAGTCTCCCGCCTGCTGCCGCTTGTCATAATTTCATTATTTGCTGCGTTCAGGCATAAAAAAAGGGATATTGTCTGGCAGCCTGATGTGCGTAAGTGTACGTGAGAGTGTGTGTGGTCGGGTTGCCATGAGCACGGTGATGCTCGCTTGTCCTTTACGTCGATGTCTGCACACGCATTTATTTCTCAGCTTCTGTGGCAGTTGGCGGCCATCGCAAAATGACGGCGAATGTCTATACAAACAGCAGACAGGACGACTGACAGACAGATAGATGGGCAGTCAAACGCAGATACGGACCCACACGGTTAGAAAAAAGTTATACATAAAGCTGTGAAATTCACATTTTATTTTTAAATCCATCCTTGTCAGAAATCTTAATGAAATCTTCAATTTAAAATTAAGTGTACAATTCTATTTTAAAAATATCATTTATATTTGCATTTTTTAGAATACTTGTTAGGATACATGCCTTTTAAAATGTAAAAAAGAATATATTAAAATAAAACATAAAATTAAAGTGAACAACATTTTTTAAATAGCGGAGACTCATCAGAATAATTGGAGAATTTTATTTTTATTGAAAAAACCCAAATAAGAGGGGATTGTGTTTTTCTTTTCAAGTGCACAAATGACTGTCTGGCCCTTTTCACTCAGTTGACTGACTGACACGTTTGCCACGTGCCTCAAGTTATGAGACTCGACGGCCACTGAGTTGCAAGCAAGTGTCCACTGCCCGACCGAAACTTCAATTTTAATTGGATAATTACTCATCCAACCCAGGATTTAATCCCGCCTGAAGTTGATGCACCGCACCGGGGTTGTTATTGTGGGAAATTGGGGGAGGTTAACCGCGGGCAGCCTCATTCAATGCTCCCTTTGAACCTGCAAAGTCTGCGGCTCAAGTGGCTGACTGGCATTTTCCCCCCTTTTCCAGTTTCCCTCGGAACACTGCATCGCTATGGTTTCCAAATAGATGCACTTCAAAGTGCAGGCCATAAGAGATTGCAACTTGTTGGTGGTGGCACACGCACAAAACCGCTTCCACAGACCATTCACCAAATGCCCGAGATGTACGGATGACACACGGAATGTGCTGAAATTGAAAGCCAAATACGGCAAAGTAGTTGCCAAATGGGTTAACTGGCTACCGACTGCCAAATGGTTTTGCCATTCACCAGTCCCAGGCATTAAATGTTCTACAAATCGATGCAGTTGCATGCAAATGATCCTTCAATACGAGTAGTTTTTAGAGCATCGAAAGGGGAATATTATAAGGGAGACACACCCACTCGCAGTGCTTTTTCCAACTTTATTTTAGTTGAGTTCCTCAACCAAGCTCAGCCATGTTCCACAACATCAGAGAGTGTTTTTTCAGACAATTGACATGGCAACGGGTCAAAAGGAGCTCACGAGATCCCAGGACAAACAATCAGACTCGGATAAGTGCTGTAATATTTGTACTGTCGAGTTACACAGAGGGAAATATTAAGTTGTTTACCAATAAGATATATATTTGTGATACTTTAAAATATTTTAATAGTGTTTTTATGTTTTTTACTATAAACTTATTTTAAAGAATTTTTTTTGTTATCCAATTAAGTGTAGTTTGCTCTAGGCAATAAATGCACAATCCTTATTAAAAATACCATCAATTATATCTATATTTTTAATTACTTAAGCTGTCTTCTTCCAGTCACGAACAAATTGCGTATTATTTGATTCGTATCTAAGCTATTAATTTAGTTTTTTACTATTTTTAAGAGGCTATTTCGCAGTGCATTGTACTGAAGGGACGGATGGCAAATGTTTCCGCTGAAGCAGCGAGCACCGAAGCATGAATTCAATATTTCCATCTTTCATGCGCTCCGGCGAGTTTTCCGCTAGGATTTCAAAGGCACGGATACTTCGCCACGGCAACCTGCGAATCCCCGTTTAAGTCCCACTGTCTATGCGTCCCTTGATTCTAATCAACATTAATAAAATTAATTGTTGCCGCTTGGCTCGTCTTCGGGGGTTGCATTCAATTTGATTATTAGCTCAATCCAAAATAAACCGGGAACCGAGGGTGGTCCGACTACTTATTTCGATTTTGTCGTTGGCTAATTTTCCTGTGGTCGAAGGCCGAATCCCTTGGGCACTCGCTTGAATGGCACAAAATAATTATAATTTATTTACAGCGCCCGTCTGTATGTCTTTCTGCCTGTCTGTCTGGATGAAAGTTTGAATGTCGCTCTGTTTGCTGCTTAATTGCCAACTTCTACTGCGAAAACGTTTTCGGGGAGTCGTCAGAGAAGCCCCGCCATAAATTTTGTGCAATTGTTTCCTGAACTCGGGGCCATTGCATCAGGAAATTAAACTGCGATTCGTCCTCTGTTTCTGAGTGTGCGACTCATCTGCATGCGCCTGGCGAAATATGCAAAAATGCCACGCCTCCCACAATGACACTGGAAAATTGTATTTAATAAACAGATATCTTTAAAAGTTTGGGTTTTGTAAGCACAGCAACTTTTTTAACTTTAGGTAAGCTTAAAAACGTGTATGATCTAAATTTTGTATACAATTTGTGGTATTTGTCTTGTTTTTTTCTGTGCATCCTGAGGCTTCCATGCCGCAGTCCAAAATCATAAATTACACATAAACTGACCCCAACAGCGAATGTCGTTTTTGGCATTATGCAAACTTCCAGCTACAGAGTTCGGGAGTGTAATTTAATTTCTGAAGAGAGAGCGCACAAGACAATGAATCGATTATGTATAAATACTCCGATGATCGTGGCTTAGTGAACAAACGCAGCAATCATTTTGCAATTCTCGTAATCACCAAGGGGTAAGGGGTTCAAACATGCATAAAACCGAGCAACGAAAACCGAAAACCCAGAACCGAGAACCAAACCCATTTGCTGAACAGCGCAAGTGGTGGCCTGACCCCACTCGAATTGCAGTCGTCGTTGTGGCAACCAGTTGAGTTGCAACTGCCACTGCCACTGCCACTGCCAGAGCCACTGCCAATGCCATGGCTAATGGGTGGGTTTTTGGCTTTGGCATTGCCAATCGCTTGGCAGTAGAATCGTTTGGGCTTGCAGCATGATTTCTCAATTGATTGCAAGTGGCTGGCCAGAATCGGACCCGAAACTGGAGCTGAAGCTGGAGCTGGAGCTCGAGTTGGAGCCATGTCATGCCTAATGCTTATTACCAACACTCGGACGCTTGGCAATTTGTGCAGAGGCAAATGCAAATGCAGATGCAGCTGCAGCTGGCAAAGCTGCTTACTTTTCGTTTCCTCGGGATCTTGGCCAACTGCCCAGTGGTAGTCGATTTGTTGTTGCTATATTTTTAATTGGAGCTCCGTTCGCAGAGGCAGCCAGGGCATTTTTGGCAATTTCCAAAACAAATATTACTCGAAGGGATCTGCTCCGGCATGCATGAAGTGCCCGACCACCTCCGGTTGCTCTGGTTCAGGTGACCAGCTGGGCCACCTACCAAATAGTTTAGGCCATGAAATTGCTTTCAACACCGGCAACTGACACACAGTGCATGGGGATTTTATTATATGGGGGTTCATGGGCGTACATGGGGGCGGGGGAGTGAAGAGGGAGCCCACTCTGTGAGCACTGCTCCGTAAACATGTTATGTAATTAAAATGCCTTGTAGATATTTTGCCCAAACATTTTGCGGCTGCTTTTCGCTTTTGTGTGCCAAAAATATTCCTTTCCAAATAACTTGAGCTCCTCTTTTATGAGCGGCCACCGCTCGCAGCCTGAACTTTCTCAATGGAATGCCCCAAATTCTGGCAAGCTTTCACCACTTTTCCTTCTTCTTGGTACATGCACTCGTACAGGCAGAAAAAAAATGCAGTATCTATGCATTATATATTTTTATTGCCTACTTCAACAAGAAGCTTACTTTTGAGTTCCGAATATTAACATAAATCCATTTCCAATCACCAACAACTCCAACGTGTAATTTATGTGTTAAGGAGTTGAATTTAAATTGCAGAAGGAAATTAAAAGCTGAAACCGAGTTCAGAAAATCATTTAAATAAATCGAATTTCAATAAGTCATTTTTAAATTAAAGAACAGAATTAATATAACACGATTAAAGTTTATTACAATTGAAATTAAAGAGTTCCATATTCATTGTAACATTAATATGAAAGTACAATTAGTTTGCATTTCATTGCAAAACCCTGTTTAAATCTCATCGCCAATAGCACATATTAATATAATACAATTACTTTAAAAATTCACTTTGGTTACCTTTTAATACGAATAATCTAGCCTGGCTCTTGTGTCTGCTTTAAGAACCTTTTTATTAAAAAATTTGTAGTTTTCAGTTTTTGTGTTGATTTTTTTTGCACACGTGCACCTGACACTAACATTTAATGTATTATTTATTTCTTGCAGACGTCACAAATCTCGACTACGTAAAGGTGAATGCCGAGGCGGGCAAAAACGTGACCATTCCGTGTCCGGGGGTCAACGAGCACTCGCTGGTGGACACGCTCGTGTGGAAAACGGCGTCCACGACAATCGCGCAGTTTGCCAATCGGATACCTCTGCTCCACAGTCCAAGGGTAAGTCACATATGACCTAATGTACTGACAAAAATTACAAGCAAAGAAAAATAAACTTTTATATGCATTAAAATAATTTATATTGCAAATAATAATAAAATTATGACTTATTTTTAAAATTGAATGAAAGCTATAACTCAAATATTATAAAATCATTTTACTTTCAAAAATAATTTTTTTAATTTTTTTTTTTGATACGTAAATGTCTATTTACAAATCAAGTATAATCAAGATTAAATTTGATCATTGGCTATTCGAACAAACGTCTAGCTACCATTAAAATTGTTATTAATAAAATACTTGCATTGCATCAAATCATCAAATTAATGTTTAATTTAAAAAATATAGTTTTGCAATCTTCTTCATTTTATAAATTTTGCTAATAAATTGTTGTTTACTTGCACACCTTTTCACATTGAATTTCTTTTGAAAATTAAATTTATTATGTAAAAGATGTGCAATCCAATTTACTTATTCAAGACTCAAGATTTATTCTCCTTCCCGCCGCTTTCCCTCAGAAATGGCCCTCCAGTGTCATATCAGAATTCATTTCGACACTTTAGCACTGCTCCCCGCGGACGGGTGAACACGCCTAATGTGTAGGGCCCTTCCTTGGCGCAAAAACGAAGCTGTTAAAATAATTGATGGCCGGTTGCCGGGCGGCTGTTTGAACTTTGCCCTCCGCCGTCGACGGCGGCGATGAGTGCAAGAAAATGCAGCGAAAGTCCCGACAACTAAGTGGCCATCAGCGGAGGACAGAGGGGAGGTTGCGGGGTCACCAAGTGCAGTGCAGCCGGCGCGGCTAATATATTTTAAATGTTTGATAGTTGCACTAAAACAAAAGCGACATGGCGCAAAAAAATGTTCAAGTGGCTGCCAGATGGCAGAAAAAAGGGGCAGCAAGAGGAACACGGCGGGTCGAAAGTGATTGCAATGGCCTTAAACGCACTCGGGGGGCCACTGAGGCGGCGCAAACAGAATGATGAAGTTGCCTCTTCGTTGGGAACAAGATGATGGAGAATCCTGAGATGTCTGCACTCTGAGAAAAAATCTCAGTCGGATAAATAGGGCAGCAATCAGGATAAACTATTGTTTTCTTGTGTGTTTTTATTTTAGGGAGCCCAAGCCCTATCCTGAAAATTAAAAAAAATTATATACCTTTCCACTTAGAACGAAATTGAAACAATGTAAACATAAATATTTTTAGAATCTTTATAAAACCCTTTTTAAAACACCAGGTAAAAAAATCAGCCATTAAGATTGCACGGCTTAAATAAGTAAAAAGGTGTTTTTGACATAGGGCCTAGAGCTCATCTTGTTCAATTATCATTTTAGATCATCTTAATTTGATAGCCTTTAGGTTGACAGAGAAATAATTAGAATTATTTTTAGACGACACCCTTATTCTTCAAACATTTTGTTGTGATCTTTGGTTTGTTCTTTTTTAAGAATTTTTCTTAGTGCATAAATAAGATTGTAGTCTAGCTGCAGGAGAAGCTAGCCCGGCTATGTGTTAAACGGCAGACTGGGACACTTGAGCTGCAGCCAAAGTTGGTCCCAAACCGGCTTCGGAGCTCGGTTCGCATTTCTTGGCCCGAAGTTTCTTGCAAGTGCGGCGGCTGCTTCTTGGCCCGGCTATTATGTGTATTAAAAGTTTTTCACCTTGGCACAGTAGCTGCTTCATTTTATTACAGCTGACACATGAACCCTCGCACACACACACATGCACGCAAATACACCCACACAGAGGACCCTGTTGAGCTATTAACTTTAGTTTTATGGCCAAGACTAGAAATGATTCATGTTTGCCCAGGCCAAGCGGACTAAGAAGATCCACTTGCCCAAAGGACTAGGGATTTGCCTCCGCAAATTTCTATTATATTTTCCCTTTTTTTCTCCGGATTTTCTGGTCATGTAAGGCCATCAGGGCGGTAAATGTAATTTAAGATCACTGGAAAATCGCATTGGAAATGAAAAATTCCACTTGGTGAATTTCTAGCCAATGAGTTTTAGGCCCTGTCCAATAATGCCTGTCGACCCACAGTTCATCAGAATGCATTCGGCTGTATAGAAACTAAGGCTCTAATTGGAGGCCATGCAGGCGGCGGCATGAGATACGAAAGTATATATCCGGGTCAGGCATGCGAGGATAAGCCAGATACTCTCTTGCAAGATGGATTGCTGGCCATGAGGATGAAATAATTTAGTTTTGCTATTCGAAACAAACATAAATTCACCCGAAATGCATTTGCTGTATCGCAGTAATCTGTGATGAAAATCCTTATTAAATTCGGTCCAGTTATCCCAAAATGGCAGGTACGCCTGCAGTTGCATGGAACCTATTTTCGGCTTCATGCAATTTTCAAATTTTCTGCAAATCAGGATAGAAAAACAAACAAATCTTGAATGAATTCACTGTCAATGCAACTGGCTTTATGCTCATGTTGGCAAAGACACACAGTTCAATTATGGGCAAGAGAGCTGCACTTGTGGGCAAAACAAATTTGCCTTATACAGGAAAAACTTTTAGGCTGTGTCGATGACAGAGTTGGTGTACTTTGTTTTTGTTGGGCGGACATACATATGTATATAGTATCTGTGTTGGTTTTCCACTTATTTAAAAGTTTTCCATGACGAAAGTGGATACTCATGTCGGTCGCCATGTGCGTTGTCAGGTCCTGAATATCTAGATTTTGAATATTTAGATCGGACAAACGGAGTTCTAATTAAGTTTACCCTTCTCGTTGCAGATACAACTTTTATCGGACAACTTCGGCCTGCAGTTTTCGCCCTCCTTAGCGAGTGATACGTCGGAATATATATGCCTCGTTAACGATCGGCATATACCAGAGGCCATTGTGGATTTACTGGTCCAAGGTAAGTTTTTTACAAAACTAAAAACGCAATCTTATGATTCATATTCAAGTGTACCAAAAATTCTTTGAATGTTTATTTTTAAAAATAATTTGTTTTTGGTGGGGACTAGCATTTTAAGTCTGCTAAAATCTTTTGAAAATTAAAATTTGAAAAACCTTAAATAAAAAAACACGTAATCAACAGAGAATGTTCCGTGGTTTACTATAAAAAAAGATTTTTATTGTTTCTTGTAATGAAAACCAATCTTGTTTCATTCTTTTAAATTTATTTTCTTAAGGAAATGCAATTGCTTGTATTTAAATCATCCCAAGCGTTGATTCGCTCGATTTCTTAATGAAACGCTTAACTACTTTAATGATTTTTCCGGTTTACTTGGCCATCATCCGGTGGCCCCAGATTTCATTTACCGATATGTCTTCGCTCCCTGACGTCCTCCCAGTTATTTTTCCTTCGATTCCACACTCTTGTTTTCATTGTTGTCGCCCTCGTCTCGCCTTGACATGATTTCCATTTGCATTCCACTGATAGCTGGCATTTTTCTCGTTTCTTCCCTGCAGATGTGCCCGATCCGCCGGAGCGACCATTGTTGATAAGTTTCACATCACGCTCGGTGAATTTATCCTGGGCGCACTCGCAGCATCCGCGGAATGCACCCGTCACGCATTTTATTATTGAAACGCGGTAAGTGTTGTCACGCGAAGATTAAAGTATAGGTAGAGGTGCCAAATATATGATAGATCACAAAAAAAGCCAATTCTCAATCAGAAAAAAAACAAAATAAAGTGATTAAATGAAAAGAGCCAATAGTTTAATAGCCTTAATTAAAAAAAAAAATTATACGTAAATCCGAAAATCCGAATAATATAGGATCGATTACATATAAATAATGAAAATATTACATCCTTATAGTTATTTTAGCATAGTGTTACTTTATAAGTTCTAAGCAAATAAAAAATATATTTATAAATAGAAACACTAGTTTGCAAAAACAATTCAGAAAATTATTAAAATAGTGAAACTTTAAAGTAGATATTTAGAGCTAGCTAATTGGCCAGCACTTTTCCAACAGAGTGGGTGCTTTTAAGCTGATGAAGTACCCGTGGGTGGCGTGTTGTATGGACGAGTGGCTGAATGGATGGGTGGTCCAGTGGGTGGCGAAGGGCGCTGAAGAGCCATCTGTGGCGATGATGGACGCGCGGCCATGATTGACACATGCAAAGGCGCTTCGCCAATGGATGCAAACTGCGGCTGACCCCATTGCGCTAATGAAATAGCGAGCAAAGCGAAACGCTGGATGCACACCATCGCCGTAATGCCCCCATGATAAGCAGCTGGCTACGCCCACACCTTCCACTTGGAACCGCCTACCTGATTTGCACGTCTGCAGGCCAAACGTATTCAAATTAATTCATGCATTAACGACTGGCTTGAATGCACAAACATTAATTTTACAAAAATTAAATTTACAATAATTATTGTTAAACTTTAAAGATAAGATTGTAAGACATAACGATAAGACTGATATTTGGCATTGCGGTGCTAGTATTTTGGCTGCCACTGTAAACCTGGGACCGCCACTTCCGTCCTTTAGCCAGGCAGTACTTTAATTAATATGTAAAAGGATGACGACGACGACATGCATGACTACGGGGATACGCACTTCACTTGTGCTCCATTTAAATAGAAAAGAAAACACAGGCACGCGTATAAAGCCGTCTGTGCGTCAGTGAGTGTGTATGAGGAGGTGGAGTGGAGGGATTCCCCGCTTAAGTCGAGCACATACACCCATGCACAACCTCATACGCCCGCCATTGTACGGCACTGGCTATTTTCCGAATAACTTGAACTCAATGCGGGGCATGAAATAAAAAGCGAGCGCCGCCAACGCGGTACAAAGGCCAAGCCAAAATGTGGAAAAAATACCAAAAAGCGAAACTTTTTCAATAAATTTTTATCAACTGTAGTAGCACCAGGGTAAAAGGGCGGTGACGACGAGGGCGGCGAGGGCGTGTCCTCGACAAGACACTGGGTTCCCGGCACAATCGATGACAGCCAACTGGAAAGCAGAGCCTGCGGTGCATTTATGCAAAATAAGAAATAACTGCACCCACACAAACACTGAAGGAAATGTGAACACGCGCTGCCGCCTGCCAAGTCTACGTACACTTAAAAAAATGTTGTTTTTAAATATAAAAACAATAAAGTGAATTAAGAAATGAGATTTATAAATGTGTGGTCCTTGAGCTAAAAATAATGTTTTATGAAGAACTGCATTCCAGCTTAAATTATATTTTATATGAATTCCTCAAAATAAGTTTAATCAAGAGTGGATAGTGAAAAATAATTACATTTAATAAATTTGTTTGTAAAGTATCTCCGTATGTGAAAGCAATTTATAAAATACAAAAAAAATATTATATAAAGTCATTTAATAGAAAATAACTTCCTAATAAGCTAAAAATACGTTTTAAACATTACAAACCTAATGATTTTGGACATTTACAATCAACTTTAACTTAGGATAAGTATGAGTACGAGTGGACCATATTAATATTTATTTTTTTAAAGGAGCAAACACCCGACCAACATTAAAGTAATTTAACCAAAGAAGGATAAACTTATTCGTTTTGTAGTTCATCTCAGTGTGTGAGCAACTCATACGCATTATAGCATACTTTTTTGGGCAATGCGTGCACAAAATGAAGCTGCCCCAGCGCATCTCATTCTGCAGTGAGGTGGAGCTGCAGACTGCATTTTATGCAAATTCCCATCGACATGGGAGTGAGTCGAGTTCTTGATGCTGTCAAGGACCCCTCCGCACCCCTCTGCCTTTATTCACCACGCCTCTTATTTACATTTTCGCTTGATTCGGTTTATTTGCGCATATGGAAAAGGGGGAGGTGTGGACGAGGCTTCAATATGCACATGAGCTCCCATCGAAATTGAAAGACGCCAACGTCGATAAGATGATGATGATGATCATAATGATGGGGACATCCTCACGCTGGATTTGCCGGCTTGCTCCGATGCAATTGAAATGGGCTGAGTTGCCCTGCCAAGCGTTAAGTCTATCCATAAATTGCTGCCCCTCAACTGTTGCACAGCCAGCAGGCAGGATAATGTCATCAGTTGGCGAATGTGTGTGCACAAACTCGTGCATACTCGTCTGCATTGATGTTTTGTATTTGGCACATTTCACTGGCATAACTTTCGGTCAACCGAAAACTGGGCCAAGCTCTGTGGCTTACCACTCCACAGCCACAGCCATCTCCACATGTTTATCAACTGCTGTGGATAGTGATTCTCAATTCCATTCACCAAAACCCAAATAGTCGCTGAAAAATTGTTCATATCATTATGCGATGTCCGCTGATGATTCAGATATTTCTTGGCCCCGCCACTCACTCAACTGCATTTTCCGTCACTTGATTTTGACATGTTTATTCAGTTTCTCTTTTTCAAGCACACCGAATAAAATTAATTAAATCTTGCGCTTACGAAAACATTTTCATTTTTTGGATATTTGTTGTTTACTTTTCACATTATGTAAAATACGTTTGAAGGCATAATAAACTATGAAAAGTTTATAAAAAAACTTATAATTGAAAGATTTGATAAATAACATTGCTTAAAGCAATTAATATACAGTGCTGTATGCAACAAGCTTTTATTAAAAGTGTTTAATAATTTTCTGTTGATTTTAAATGCTTAATTGATTAAAGTGCATTGAAAATGACATTGCAAACTTTTAGTATTTCTTAACAAAATATTTTAGAGACTGTGAGAAAGAGAAGTATAATGTTATTTTGCCAAAAAAAATCAATGGTTCGGGAGCTCTAGTTATTTGTTAAATTTCCCTAAATTAAAAATACCACCTTTGCGGTATCCCAATAAAAATTGAAATTTATCTACCAGTTATTTGTTTATAAATTGTATGGGTTTTTTACCATGTTCCTGACTTATCTGCCGAAAACTTCGGCCACTATTTGTCCATTATCTTTAAGGACTCGTGCCGCAAGTAAATTATCCTGTTTCAACAACTCGTGCATGAACTTTGGCCCATAGCCCTCGGACATATAGAAACGATAGCCAGGGAAAGCAAACACAAACTCTCCCAGATGCATAAATAACTCATATTCATTTGCTTAATATGGAAAAAAGTGAGCAAACATTTTTAAAGCAGCTTACCAGTGGGGAAAACCAACGTCAGTGCAATAACAGCAAAAAGCATCCAATACATGTCCGTGGAAAGGCCGCAAATTTATTTGCCATTGTGGTTACTTTGCCCACGCCGTCGGAGAATCTCTCTTTTTTCGGACCACGGTTTCAGGGTATCAGGTCCAGGTCCAAAACATTTTTCATATGTTTTTCATTCGGGCCAGATGAAGGGCGGGCGCTCGCTGCCATGCTTCATAAAGTCGCCAAACAATTTTTTACCACCGCATGCAACGTGTCCGGAGGCCCGATGTCCCGATGCCCCCAATACTGCAATATATATATAAATATATCCACTATATGTACTCACTAAATGCCCATTGCCAGCGCAAACAGATGGGCGCCACTCAACGCGGAAGCTGCTCGCACGCATTTATTAATTTTAATCATTTTTTTGACATAATTTCCGATGGCCGTTTTTTCGGGGTCCTTTTATTGGTTGTCGCCATTCATAAAATGTTGAACATTTTTCATCGGCTCATATTTAAACAATTTTTAATCACACCATAAAAGCCGCACTGAATCGGTAAGCCCCATTAAAATCAAACTTTAGATGTGACGGCCGAACGCGAAATTTATGCAGGACCACCCAAAACAGAATGTGCGAAAAAATATGCTAAAATTATGTGAGTTTAAACCAAAATTTAGTACACTTTGAAATGTGCCATGAAAAATGTTCATTGTGCGAGCGGCTGCGAGTAATTTATATGCGCACCAACAACAATATTGGCGGAATACAAATATTCCTTTTTTAGGAACGTAGGTGGGTGTGTATGCATGTGTATTTTTGTACGGCAGAAAGGCGCATAAATATTTTAGTGCCTATGCGCGGCACACATTTCACGAACGGATCCCAAAAGGACCCAGCCACCCGCAAGTGTCATGCAAATCCGCATCCGTTTTATATAAATTTTCATAATGCATTTTATGCCCCATGGTTTATGTATATTGGAACCGCTCTGTCCCATTTCCCCATCGCCAGCAGATTGCAGACGTAAAATATAGATTTCTGAGTTTATTTATACGGACGTGCTTGTATGGCGGCAATTGAGCTGGTAATTGCAATATAAATGCACAATAATGAAATGATTCATTCAAATAATTTGGTCGAATCAAAATGTTTTGTTTGCTCGCTTTCTGTTTGTTCGATTAATTGTTCATTGAATTTTCCCTCTGAATGAGTCATCAATATACACTTTAAATTTATGAGATCAATAATACGAAATTGATTAATATAAAGTATATATTTAAAGTTATTATACCTGAAATAAAGTTTATCCAGTAATATATAATAATATAAGTATAAAATATATGGTAAATTGTTAGAAATAAGATAAAGTCCATTTTCCAAGACTTTTTATTTGACTATTACATCATCCTTTTCAGGGAGGGCGAGGACGGCATTTGGGAGCAGCTGGCCAGGATCTACACCAAAACCAATGCGACTTCATACCAGGTGACTGGGCTGACGCCCTTCACCGTCTACAGCTTTCGTCTCCTGGCGGTCAACAAGCTGGGAATCAGTCCGCCGTCCAAGGAATCCTACTACATAGTCACGCTGCGTGAGGGTGAGTTAATTTCCAACGTCCTTTGTGCTTACACACTTTATTGGCGACCCGATCATAAACTATTCGCGTAGGCGGTTCACATAACATAACGTAACATATAGCCCTGGGTAAAGTTACGCGACACATGACATAACAGTTTTTACAATCGCATTAATTTTTCATTTCAATTCCAACGACTTGGCCTGACTTTTAAGTGCCGTCAATGAAAAGTTGTCACAGGCTCGCCTGCTTTTTTCCCCCACACCCAGTTTTTGCCGCAACTGCCAGCAATTACGGCCTCATAAAGCCGAAGTCTCCTCACGTTGTATACGTTTAATTATTTTTCCGCTGACGGTAGGCCATCCCAAGCCCGGTTACGCCAAGCCTGTCGTCATTTTATGGAGCTCCTCCGGTCCTCCACCTGGGTAACTCCTCCCGCATCGCATCCTCCTGCTGGCAATGACATTAACTGCGTCCGTTCGCAACCCAAAGAATACTACAACTGAGGTCACAAAAATAGTTAGGCATTTGTTGAATTAATTATCTCATGAAGACACGATGCAGTCGATGGTATTATGCATAGAATTTAAAAAAAAACCTTAAGCAGCACTTAAAAGTCAACCAAATATTTTCCAGTAAATGTTATTTTAGGTCATCTCTTTAAAAAATGAGTTAGAATTGATGACATAACATACTAGCCCCGTCAATACAATAAATAACGTAACTACAGTGTCATGAAAAAACTATAAAAAATAGGAAAATTTAAAAAAATATGATAAACTTTTATTTTAGCTTAGTTTACTCAATTATTTTCTTTTAATTTGATATATTTCATTCTCGAAAATCCATATTTGGCCACCACCATTTTTTTGATCGCAATTGTCTAAGTGTGCATGCCATAAACACTCACATTTTAGAGAAAGCTTTCATTCCATTAACATGCGATGAAAAAGCCGAGAACTTTACCTCCAGAAAGTTAAAGGAACTGTAATCAAACTATGGGTACAGCTTTCTGTTGTGTTCAGCTGGATGCACTAAATTTGTACCGAATGCCTCAGCAGTCCGTATCATTTGGCTGACATTTCACCTGCTGCTGCCGCTTATGCTGCTGCCACAGACAATGATTAATCGTACGACCGTGCGTGTTCCAAATTTAGTATATTCCCCCCACATATGTATAAATGGACTCCAAAAAGTCACAAAACTTTGCGTAGGCTTTAAGAGCGCGAGACACATTAATCAAAGGCAAAGTAGCAGTAGCTGCGGCAACAGCGACAAGCTATTAGCAACACATTTGTCTTACGAACATTGGAAATGACTTTGCCGCTACACGGGAGAAAATATCCCCAGTGCTTACAATACCTACAATTTGTGACAAGAATAGATCAAATCACTTATTTTACTGTACAAACTTATAAATATAAAGGAATTTAAAGATATAATTAAATTGGAAAAGCAAAGCTTTGTAATTTTTGAAAATTAGTTATTTACTTTACAAAATTCAATGGATTTTCTGTAGGTGTAGGTGATTTTCACATGATTTTCCTCAGTGCTGGGTGGTCGGTTGGGTGTGAAATTCCATTTGTGCCGAACGCACAATGGAATGCGAACCCTGCCGAAGCTGCAACACATGCGGTTACAAATTAGTCAATAGTGTGTTGCTATGTCCTCGGCTCCTGAGCTCATTAAGGTCCTTTTGGCCCTCCTGGAGAGCTATATATGTAAACGGGTGTTTGCCAATGCTGCGGTCGCCGGCCGAGTTGCCAATTTGTATAAATTAAGCCTGCGACACGCATAAATTAACCAACGACACACACACCGCCATTTTCGGCTATGAAACGGATGCTGGGCGGATCTTTTAAATCTAAGCAGCGGAAAAGCGAAAAGTTTTCAATTTGCTGAGCAAACTTTGGACGCGGCATCAATGTCAAGTCGAAAGACATAAAATATCTTTTAATTTATTTATAAATTCATTGAGGTATGCGAAGTACTTCGCTCTCCTTTCGGGGCTGGCAAACCGCCAGATCATCCTAAGCGGGGCACACCTGCTACACTGAGAAAAAGACTTGTAAAAACCACTTAAAAACATACAAAATATTCTTAAAACAGAATATATCCAATAGTATACATTTTTCAGTAAACTTATCTTAGCTAACGACATCTAGTTTTGAAAATAATTAAAAATAAGTGAAAATAGGTCTTTCAAAGAACAAAGAACTCTTAAATAAGCAACTTGTTCTTTGAGTGTTTCTGCGAGACACACGCATCATTTAACCTGCGTGTAATTCCCGTAGACAAGGCCAAAAAGGGGATGGTTGCGAATAGGAAAGACGTCCAAATACGTAGGCACTGAGATCCCGAGGCCCACTCCAAAAGCCGAAAAACAGGCCGTGGCACTCGCAACTTATGTTGCGTGACAGTGACAACTTGACAATGCCACAGACAACGTTCCGCTTTACATGACAGGTCAGAGTTTTTGGGTGTAACTTTTGCGCGGCGTTTTTAATTTCGAATTTTTGAGTTTCCCACCGGAACTTTTGTGCGCTGGCCAAAGTTTTCTGGCCTAGATCGCTCATTCCTTAACCGACTTAATCTCTTGCAGCTCCCACAGGCAAGCCCATTCCGACAACGGCCCACAACACGTCCTCCACCTCGGTCTACATCTCGTGGAAGGCCCCTCCGCCGGATACCATATTGGGCGAGTTCCTTGGCTACCGCATCACATATCGACCACGCGATCGTGACCCGAACGATACAAAGGAAATCTATATACGCGACAACACCGTGGAGGTGAGTTACGCTTCTATTCCTAGTCATATTTAGTTGTTCAGGCCAAAGATAATTGAATTTCACGATTTCTGACACTTTGCCATGTTGCAAACACATGACTCAGGTTGTTGTGCAGTGAAAAAAAAATTATATAAAATTCAAAAACTATTTTAAAGGATAAAAAGAGATATATAAACTCTTGACTTTTAGATATGCTTGTTAAGTTTAATCGCTTCTAAATTGCTATACAGCTAATACTTTAAAGAACATTTAATTATTACTTTTAGGTTTTTTAATTATAAGGCTGCATTGTTATTTGTTATTTGCCTTTGAAAAAGCCCTCAAACTTAGGTGTACAATCATTTTAAATTACTTTATTTTCACAGAAAAAGAAATCTGTGCAATTATATTTTTTTAAAGCTAACGAATTTATTTGCAGTGGCGCAATAGAGGGCAACATTCCGTGTTCCGCCTGCAACGTCATTCAATTTCGCTTTGGTTTAGGTTCGTGTCTGGCTGCCTTGCCACGTGCATATCATTTTCCTTGCCACAAAAACTCGTGGATTTTCATTTCGATACCGAATGCCAAAGTGTCGGCTTAAAGTTGGTCCAAAAATGTGTGTGTTTCCACACTGTCATTCGCAGGCTTAAAGCCACATCAGCGGCGTATTAAAAAGTAATTTACACCTGGCAACAAGCAAAACATTTCCCACACACCTTGATGGGGGGTTACAAGTGTTTTTCGTTGGCCACCTGTCAAGGTGTTACCATATCTCGTTTGGGGACCCCGCTATCAGTGGCAATTTGTTAACGATTAGTCCTCAGCTGGGGCCAGTTTTGCTACTCTTGTCTAGGCCAAAACAGTGGGTGTGTTTTTCCATCTCCACGGGTCTCTTTCGTGTGCGGATAGTCGGACACGCAAGTTGGCTAATGAAGTAAGCAGGTGGGGGAATGTTGGAAAATGGGGGCGAGCCCAGAACAAATAACTAGGGAATACCTTTCAATAAAACAGAAGTTTGGCTAAAAGCAAACCGAACGCTTAGTCTAAGTTTGGTAAATTATATAGTAGCTATCGGTTTATTTGTTGATACCTTTTAAAAATTGTATTTGGTCATTGTTGACTTGCTTTAATTTAAGACGGCTTTTGTTGATATTCCTGCTCAATTTTCTAAATAAGAATATTATGTACTGTAGCCAAAGTTGTCCATTAAAATAATACAATTACCAATTTGCCAAAGTTAGTAGGAACAATTTTATTTAAAATAAAATGTTCTGAGAATCTGCTTAGTTTAACCTCCGAAAATGTTTAAGGCTTTGGCTATTTCTAGCTTCTGCCGACCTGGCTTTGAATAGATTTCAATCGACCGCCGGGAATTAGCAGAACCGCTGACCATCACGGCGCTCTTTGAACCAAATACTGAAGCCGAGCGAAGGGAATGCATTTCTGAACTTGCAGCTGCATTCCGAATGCGTTTGCCAGCTAAAATATGCAGAAATTATTAGCAATAATGCTTATGTACGACAATGTCTCTTGGCGTGGCGGAGTAAGCAAAAATAAAAAGTAAAAATAGAAATGGGCCACTGGAGGTGGGATCCAAATTTGGAGGACGCTTGATTGCCACGAGCGTGGCACGCTTTTGTGCTCGAGTGCATATTTTGTCCTTATCTAGTCGCAGCTACCCGTCTCTGTCTCTGTCTCCATGTCCTCTACTTTTCTCTCTTTTGCATGTCGCTGGCATGTTGAAATATTATCCTTGCAGGCAGAAACGTGCGACTTCAGTTACTTCTTTTTTTGGCAAGACAAGGGCACAGAGAAAAAATTTCTATTTTTACAGTAGGGACTTTTAACTTTTTGAATTAATAAAAAATGTAGCCCCACGATAAAAACATATCTAAAAGATATATTAAGCTTATACAAAGCAAGAAATGATTATTAGGAATAAAATCTATAAGTTCATGACTTTCAAAAGTATTCTTATCCAATTTAAATCAACACCCTCCGTTTTAAGTTGCAATTTTTCTCAATGTGCATGTGTTTTTTGTGCTCAAGTCACTTTGGCGGTCTCCAGGACATCGCTTTCTGTTATTCGCATATCGCAGCATCAGCGTTCAGTAGCCTGCGGCTTTTGCCGACCCGCCACGCCCCTTTTGGGCCAACGGCTTTCTTGGCCAGCGGCGTTCACATTGAGCTGTCACGTGTGAGGTGGAAAAGGGGGGGCGGTGGATTTTTCCAGCTTCGTCTGCACGGCTAAATTTACCAATTTTCTAATTAAAATTTCTGCGCCGTAAAGCATAAATTTCGCAACTTTTACGCAGATGAAAGCCAGCAAGTCGAGTCACACGAAACCTCAAAGGAAGTTGGTCCCACAAAAAAAATGGAAGCGAAAAGGGTAGTCCAACACTGATATTGTTGAAGAACCAGAAAAAAATACAGTGTAGATAAGTCAGCTAAGTGAGAAAAATTGTCGAGTTTCTTTTAAAGGCAACGGCATTTGTTTGACAGTCGAAATGTAATCGGCTTGAAGCTCCACTCATTTTTTCGCTACCGGCTAGATCCAATTGAGCCATCAACTGCTGGCACTAATTAACGCAGCAAGGAGCGAGAATATTTAGATGCTTATCCCCCTGCTTCACACTTTACAAAGTTATGCAATATGGCTGGAAGTTGGGGCAACTTTATCAATTACATTAAATCAATTACGTAGCCCTCCCTAGGGCAGTACCAACTTTCAGCTGACCATAAAAATAAAAGCAGTTGTAAATTTTCGGCCTCATTTACTGGCGACTGAATAAAATGGAATTATATGACCGCCCACCATATAGAAACACTAAATTCAAGCGCTTAGTCTTGTCCATGTAGTTATAAATACAGCAGCGGTTAAGAAATAGCAGTGCTTTTCCGAAAAATCCTTACCTAATTAGAATCTCAATTCATTTTAAAACAAAAACAAAATGTTTTAATAAATATTTCTGTGTGGCAATACCATTAAATCTTGTTATATCTTGACACCGAAAATTTGGTCACTAAAATATTATTAAACGACTTAGTAACAACTCAGAGGCTCTATTATTTTCACCGCAGCTGTAAAAGGATGCCGGGCGAAAAAGATATCACGCTTCTGGTGGAAATAACTGCGATTGTGGCTGGCGCCGTCTGAAAAGCCCAAAACAGCCACTTAAGCTGTTGGCATGGCAGTCAATCCGCTGCTAAGCACAGGCCGAAAGTTCGCATAGTCGAAACCCGTTGGTTTTGCGGTGGGACCGCAGACGAACACAGATACACATGCACACACACAGCAGCAGGCAAATTCAGGAAGGCAGCGCTCTAATGTATGCTACATAATTTGCCCAAGGCAGCTGACCATTTGCAAGTGTGCCGAATGTGTGTAGTGCTTTAGGCAGAGTGAACCACTCTAAGTCTGCGGCTTGTTTTATGGTTTGGCACTGCTTTTAACCTTTGCTTAAACCTTAATCAGCCGCTCGCGAAATTCACTGACTAAGGCTATTGGAATGGACTTCTTAACCTACACGCACTAATAAATTACAAGCATACAAGCTTTAATGGTTTAAAGTTATAATATCCCTACTAACTAGTTAACAGATTTAGCTTTAGATTTAAATGTAACGTTTGTCAGTTTATTTAAAATTCGAATTTCTTGTGTGGTTTCCTGCCGTTAAATCAGAAATCAAAAATACAGCTTCCATTTTTGTTTCTGTTGCTTTTGAATTGACTTTTTTTCGGTGTGATGTGGCAATTAAGGCAAAGACTACTACTCGTTGCCCAAGCAACTCAATTTCCTTTTGCACCGACATCGCAGCACTGCAAATCAATTTTAAGTGCTGCAATTTTCATATTTGCCAACGGCAACGCACAAAAGTATGCAACGCGCAATTTCCGCTCCAAGTATGCACAATGGAATGGAAAGGGGATTGGGCGGTTCGGGGGGTGGTGGTGGTGCTGCGGAGGAGCACTTGCTGCAAGTGCTCCACTTTATTTTGTTATGCGCCTTCAACGGCCAACAAATGAAAAGTCTTTTGGTGTATGTGCAGAGCGAAAAAAATACCGAAAGTTTGTATTTAAGAAAGTTTTTGTTCATAAAATGCATATTTTTTCTTATTTTTATCAAAACATCTTGAAAAACATTGAACTTATACTATATCAAATCTTTTATATTTCTTAAAAATTTTAAAAAGATTTGGTCAGACTCTTTATTTTTTCTTTTATATATTTGAATTTTTTCTAGTAGCTACACACTAACGATTAGTTTTTGATTATTTTATTTTAGTTAGAGGCACAACATTTTCTTGTCGTGTACGTTTACATATTAAATAGGCAATCAAACTGATTCTCCCAAAATGTCCCCTTTCTCTTGCAGAGCCATGAGATTCAGAATCTGCAGACGTATACGCAGTACAAGGTGACGGTGCAGGTGTTTAACCCCGAGGGTCTGGGACCAGAGACCACCATTCTGGTGATGACCGACGAAGGAGGTAAGTGCCATTCTGCCATTTACTGGAGAAACGCAATGCAAATTCTCCGGATTCCCCACATAATCAATAATGCATGCCACATAGTGCTTGCCTCAGGGAATTCAGGCTGTCAGGCATCCAAGCGATGGCCCAAGTCAATAAGTCGATCGAGCAACTATTTTTCACATATCTCGGAACCGCAAAATTCCAAATATTACGACTTATTGACATGCCAGATAAGTGACCAACCCCCGAATGCCAGAAAAAGAAAGTTATGTAGTATATCGTATATCGCAAATCATATGCATTACAAGATGCAGATGCAGCAGCGTCAGAAACAAATTCGCCTTTGTGTGCACTTTTAGTTTTTCCCCCTTCGAGTTTTCATAGATGCAAAGGCATAGCAAGGCAAAGCAACTTTGAGATTCGCTCAACCACAAAATGCCTCCACCATGCAATGAAGCAAACAAATAAAAGTTTAACTCCAGACCACAGGCTAAGGAAAATATGTTGCAATTTTTCATATTTCTTACCCATTCCCCGGTATTTTCAAGCTTTTCTCGGCATCTCGGAATCCGCTGCAGACCGCAGTCGGTCTACGAACCGTATTGAAATGGAAGAATACTCGCCCAAACAAATAGAAATACAAAATAAATATTGCTTACTTAAACTTTTGCCATATGCTGCTCAGTCAGCAAAAAGAACTGCCCAGGCATGTCTTTTCTATTTCGGGTTTTTTCCCTTCTCATACCTCTTACTTTGTGAGGTGTTTTTGGGGTATATTGTAATAGAGAAAATGCATTTATATTCTCTAGCTAAGACAAATAATTTAGGTTTAATATTTATAGACAGGGTATATTTATGATTTTGGCTAAGACTAAACATATTATATTTCAAGTGTATGGATATTTATAATGTTCGTAACCATGATACAAAATAAAATATATTGAGAAGAGATTAAGAAATAGTTTCAATATTTTTTCTTTTAACTAAAAACCTTTTTAAAATGGCTGAGACTAAATTCTTAGATTATGACTGATGCTTAAAATATAAATTTTCAATTATATGAAGATTTACAATGTTCTTTAACAACAGAACTAAATAAAATGTGTTGAGACGAGATTAGTAAACATAACATTTAATTCCTTAAAAAATGAAAAATTATATGCTCTTAAGCTCTAACTTTATTTTAATGACTAAAACTTTCTGCCTAAACCTTATCTAATGATGTGATAAAAATAATTGGCCTCTAAAATCTACAAAAAATTCTGATAGACGGGTATCAAATCGTTGCAATGTCCGCCGAATGGCGCACCCTGTTATATCCTTCCCTTTTTGTTAGTCCATTGTTATATCCCCCAATTGCTTCGACTCCTGGGCCGCCACGTGGATTTCCGCTGGCAGCGTTTCACTTGGTATCACCAGACGCCGCCGCTGGCGGAAGTGTTGATTCCATAGACGCCGGCCGGCTGAAAGTCTGCGGAACGTAAATTATAAGCAGTTGGCCATAAATAAATCGGGGCGGATATAAAATTCCAACGTGTGCGAATTTATCGGGATACCGGAACGGGGGATTTAATTTCCTGCAGTCAGCTCAAATCTGTTTGCATAAGCGCGCGCCAAGATGTCTTGGCCAAATATGGCGCTCAGCTTGGGAAGTTTTTTAAGCGCGCTAAGACTCGAAACTCTTTTGAAAGTTGCCCAAGAGCTTAGCGGCATAATTAGCATAAAATTCAGCGGAAAATCCTTTGCCAGCGTGAGTGAGTCGTGGGAGTGGCCGGAAACCGAATAAAATCAGATTCGATAAAAAGGAAAATAAGACGGCACTCCCGTATGGATTTGTCTCCCGTGGACTGAGTATAAGCTGCTTTGGGCGAGAGCAAAAATATAACTCTGAGTCTCTGCGACAGCTGGCATAACTCAGTAATTTCCGAATTCTCCACGTTCTTTTCCATTTTTGTTTGGGATGTGGATGTGCCAAGGTAACCTGGCAGGTGCAGACGGACGTGGCTTTCTGGGGATTTGCAGCGGCTTAGGCAGCAACTTTAACCAAGGCCAAAACCCAGCTCCCAGCTGCTTCAGCTCTGGGTCTAATACAATTCAGTCAATTTCGGGTGGGCGTGGCCGATGCGCGTGGCAGTTGATTAATTACCCTCGAATATTTGCCGCACAACAACCGCAAATAGCTGGCAAAACCAAAGCCCAAATTTCTGCACGTAAAACAAGGGGAAAGCTTTCGATAAGTTGTCACGAGTATACATCATTTAAAAAAAATATTTAGAAAGGTTTTGAAAAATATATATAATCCAGAGATACTTAGAAAATATTAATTAATAATTATTACTTAAAAATCTGAGATTTATTCAATTTGGAATTGAAAGTTTTAATCGGGTCAGGATTTGTAGTATAACTTGACCTATTAAAACCCAATTTTAAAATTAAATATCTCTACAAAAAATGCTAGTTTAATAGCTAAAACAAATTTAGATTTTTAATTTGGGCTTAAAATATGTTATGTCTTTAAAGACATGGTTAAAGTTATACAATAAAACTAATCTTTTAAAGATTCTCATACTGTAGATGAATTGAATTTTCAGCCCAAGAGAAAGTAACCAAAGAACTCTGCAACACGACCACATGCGGTGAAAATTATGAAGCCTTGCAGTGCGGCTTAGCAACGGGTCAGGGATCCATAAAATCCGGCAGTTCCTTTGCAGGAGGGCGCTGCTCCACAGATAATGTCTCCAGAAGGAACTCAACGATTGCAAAACAATTTTAGGGCTTCGCCGGGGCTTTGCACTCCGAAGCTCGACAGGCCGTCTTTGATTAGATATTTTCCACTTTCCTCCTTCGGCCGACCGGCCGGCCTTTGTTATTGCGTTTTAACTTCTGACATTGGCCCGGGCTTAGAGGGCCCTGAATTGTCTTGTCTTGCTCGCCTCTGCCGGCACGCACTTGGATTTCGTTTTGGCCAAGACTGGGGGTTTGTGGCCGAGAGTGGAGTAGAGTTCTTTTTCTCGTTTTCCGACTGCAGTGTAGACAGCTCAAGGGGCATGTTCTCCTGCCAGACCCCCAAACACTTGTCGCTTTCGAGAAATACAGAAGGACAGGCGGACAATCGTAATGGCTTTGTGCCCTGCTTCTTGATAACTTCGTTTCGTTTCGTTTCGTTTCATTTGTGTGGACATGGCAACACTTGATGGTCTTGGCAACTTTTGACTTTAACGCGTCCTGTTACCTAGAGCCCTGCTCCTCTGACACGGCCTTTGGCACCTTGAGCAGCAGGTCATGTCCTTCGGATCATCGGATGAAGTGAACTGGTTAAGACTGAAGCAAGTCGAGCTGTGTGCAATTTAATTTGTCTGCTTCTCAAGGGCGTCTGCCGACTGGCTTCTTAAATCAAATTTATAATTCAAACAACCTGCAGCTCATAGAAAAACACTTTTGAGCTCCATTTTTACTCTCCCGGCGAAAATGTAAAATCAACGCACCCAAAACAAACGCTCCATTAGACTTGTTGTTAGGGATAACTGAAGCAGAAAAGCATCCACACTTGGAAAAATCCAAGCAATCTTTTTAAAAGAGTGTAGATCTAGAGATTAGAACACTACATAACTTTTACGACCTTAATATAACACTTTTTTTAGATCTTTGCAGCATTAAATTGATAATGTTATAAATTAAAAATATTTTTTAGAGGTACCAACAAACAAATACAACTGAAAATAAATAACGATTAAACTTTAATTATGGTTAAATAATAATGTTTATTTGGTTTCAAGTTGCATATTTTGAGAGTTTACCAATTTTAATGTGCAGTGCACTTGCAGCTAGTATATCCTTAAAACCCCCTAGCAATTTATCACCGCCCGTGTGTCACAGTTTTAGGGGGCGTGGCACATGCTGCTGCAGCCAAGAAAATTAATAGACAAACGTGCAGATCCACCTGGTACAACAACAAAAAAACTAGCACTTGCATTTGAGGAAATGTTGCCACTCATTTCGAGTGGGTAAACTAAAGTAAATGGAAAATGGGAAATCCATTTGCTGAGAGCGCGGACTGTCAAAAGCTTGTGGCCGTCTAACCAGAATCCAGTATCCAGAATCCACCGGCGACTAAGTTTTGCAGCGGGCCCTCAACTTGCAGCTACAAAATTAATTACCTTTGGCTACTTTCAACTAGCTGCGGTTCGGGTTCAGCCGTTTGCATGCACTGAAAACCCTCGCGGAAAACGGCCCCGCCCCCTTTTTGGAAAAACACCGCCCACATCTAAAAGATGGTTCAGTGCATCCGCTGACTGCTTTTAAAGCGGCAGCCGCAAAGCACGGAAAAAAAACACACAGATAGTGGAGTATAACACAAAACTCTGGGCACAAGTTTCCTTCGTAGAAAACTGCGGGCGGCTGGTTGGCGGAAGTGACAAGCTGCACTTTTGGGTGGGTGGCAAACTGGGGGTGGGTGGGAAAATTCAGCCACTGCAACAACAACAACGAGAGGAGATAAAAACTTTCCTTGGCTACAATGAATAGTTAATACACTCGCAGGTGAAATGTGGAGATCTAAGGGAGGAGGGAATTTATAGAATATGGTGTGTGCTATTTAATTTTCATCATCATACTCCTGATGAATTTTATTGATTACTGAATTTATTGACCCTTTCAATAAACTAAAAAGTAGGGCTTTTAACAGTCAATGAATGAAAAATAAACTTTTAAAGCAATCAAGCAATCGCATTCTAACACCTCAAATTAAACCAAAAACATTCTGGCTTTGTCAGTTAAGAAAATCAATAAGAAACATTAAAGCCTTCAGGCTTGTACGTATTTCAAAATAAAGCACAAACCAAATACTTCTTCACATCTAAAGTTTAAATATTTGGCAATAAGGCAATGAAAACAATTGGTTTTTCATTAAGACACAAATAATGAAACAAAGTAAATAAAAAATATATGTTTAAGGAAAAAGTTGCGAGGTGCATTCGCTTAATTGTTTACCAGCCTATATTAATTACATTAATATG